AGCACTGCTACACATAACAAGCAATTAATAAGTATTTAGCTTAAAATGCATAGCTAGCCATATGGCAAAACATTTAAATGAACCTCCCCCCCTACATTTTACTTTAACCCAATATCTTAACGGGCAGGAAGTTGTAGCAATACTTTTTCTATCCAACAATAAAAAGAAAACAAGAAATCTAACATTTACACTCAAAATAACCTATCACCATTAAAGGAATGATAGTGCTTAAAACCCCCAATACTTAACAATTCTTCCAAGCAAGAGGCCTATTTAAAGAGGAAAACCTCTTAAGGCAACTATTAACCTAACAGGCCTCGCTTCCTCAGAGAAGCGGGAGCCCTTGGAGGCTCCTCGGGACCTTCGCGGGAGCTCGCGCGCTCCCAAGGGCCACCCCCAAGGGGCCTCCCTCGCCTGCTGTACGGCAGCAACCGACCGAGGCCCCTCACGAGGCCGCRGGGCCGCCCACGCGCCGCGCTCCCCCTCAGACAGCGCCGGCTGCTCCCTCACCGCCTCCATATGCTCTCCACGCGGTGCAGCCCCGTCTTCTGTCCTCCCACATCCCGCCCAGCGCGMGCTCGGAGAAAAGGGTTCCGCCTCMCGACTCAGCCGCCCAGCTCTCCAGCTCCTGTTGCAGCCGGCCAAGTATAGCAGGCGCACACGCCTTGGTCATGTGACGGAGGCAAGTTTGGGCCGAACCAACGAGGCAGAAATGCAGGGGGAGATCCTGCAAGCGGGGAGGGGGGAAAACAAAGAAAATATATGGAAATATGCAGGGRAAAAAAAAAAGAGWGAGACCAAACACTATAATCGAATATATTCACTTCCAGGGCGCTTCAAGCGGCGCTGCTGCCTAATAAGTGCGGAGCAGGAGGAGGGCATCCCTCTGTGGCAGTGGCAGTGGTATCGCCCAGGTGCTGGGCGCGCACTTCAAAAGCGCCGCTCTGCAGCGCGCGGCTCTGAAGTGCGGGAAGGAGGAGGGAAAGGAAAGCGGAGCCGGCGCGACTTGGGTGAGGGGGGCGCGAGCTCGACCGTTAGTGGGGTGGGG